CAGGCCACAACTCTACTTACACAACAAATGGACACATTAGGGTGATTACTGTTTCCTCTGGCTAATGGCCGGCTATTTAAAAAAAAAAAAAAAAATCCACGCGCTTGATGGGACCTGTGTTATATTATATGATGACCTGGGCCGCGCCGAGGCCAACGATGGCTCCGTCACAACAAAGGCTGCTGCGTCTTACATGTTGTTTGACAATTTAGGGGGAGAAAATAATTGACACGTATAAATGAAAATGATCCAATGAGAGAGAGCGGCGGCGCAAACAAGAGCCTCACTTATCACTCAATTACCTGAAACACTTTTGGAGGAACTGTGAAAGCGCTTAAGAGCCTAAATGGCTGTTTGGGAAAGTGTTACAGCTGCAGCTGGAAAACAGACCCAAATAAAGGCAGATCACAGTTCACTACGGCTGCACTCAGTGGAGGTATTTTTTTTCTCCCCTCATTTTATTTTGTCAGAATATTTTTCCTAGTAATTAAATTAGTGTAGATATTAATTTTATTGTGACGATTAAAAATATGTATCTAAAAAAAACCAGCCATGTTTTAAACCTGCGAATTCAGTTTTAGTTGCATGTAAATTAAATTGACAAATTCCCTGTATAATTTAATTGTAATCTCTATTTTTTTTCTAACATAATTTTCCTTTGTCTGATGTTGTTTACATAATTGTTTATTTGACTTTCGTCACTATGTGTCCAAATTATAATCTAATAATCCCGGTCAGTTATCAGAAATATGATTTTACAGATGAAGACAAAGTAGAAAAGTGCTGCTGCTTCCACGCTGTGCACCAGTTACCTGAAAAAGTCCATTTTACAATACAGCTTCCCATCCCTGGAGAAGCACTTTTCGGTGAGGTTGCAGTTACAGTCACAGCACTGGACGCACTTCGCGTGCCAGGCTCGGTCCAGTACATTCAGGAGGAATCGGTCCAGAATGGGCCGTTCACAGCCGGCACACTGGACCATCATGTCTCCGGCCTGCAGGACGCCGAGTGCAGACCTTCCCACGCCGACTGCGCTGCTCGGACTGAGGCAACCCGGGTCTACGCGGAACACCGTCTTGACTCCTGGAAGTAGGCAGTCAGGCGAAAACTGGACGACGCCTCCGTGCACGGGCGGCGAACTGACAGTCCGCGGCGGACGCTGTGCGGCCGGGGCTCCTGGACGGTAGCAGTCCTGGCACTTGTCACAATCCACAATCCAGAGAGAGGGGAGAAGCAGGGAACTCACCCGCGCCAGCTGACGAGCTGCGTGACGGCCAGATCGGGCATCTTCTCTCACGGGCACGCACTTACAGCACCATTAATCACTGGTGTTTGTTTGTAACACCACATCCCCGGGTGTTTGGAGCTTTTGTTCGGAGGTCCGCTCATCACCTACGGGCTCAACTCAAACCGCCACTTTCGCATCACTGTGCCTGGATTATCACCAGGTTTTGCCAGCCACTGCGCGCACTCCGCGCCCAGATTGGATGACTCTCCTCGTTAATTCCTGTGAAGCTCAGCCAATCAGAGGACAGTAGTCATGGTTACACCTTCATAGCTTTAGCCTCGCACCTGAAATCTCACGCCGAGCACAAATAAGACGCCGGTGGGAGCAGGCGGGTTTTTCTAGTGGTGCGTCCAAAGGCCGGCGTATGGAGACTCCCACGCAGGTTGACGGCGGCTTCAGGCAGGGACGCAGCGGCTGCAGGAAGTGTCAAAGCAAGAAAGCGTCACTTCTGCAACACTCCTTTAACTGGACCGTAAACTTAACATGTGCACCAAACGAAAACAAATGCATGAAGGGGGGAAACTCTGTGCGTCTGCCGAGTGAATGCGAACAAACTGAGGGGGAGTAGCCGAACACGGGCCAACGCCACGGCACCTTTATCATGGACCGAGTGACAAAACGGTGAGGCTGAGCCGCCGTGTAGAGGAGGGGCCGCTCGGCCTTTTCTCATGCAGAAAACCATTTACAGGGAAATGCCATGGATTAGCCGCAGCCCGTCAATGGGCCGAGCCTGCATGGTCACCAGGAGCTCCAACAGAGTGGCCACCAACCGAAGAGAGCCTCAGTATTTACCCACAGACTCGTTTTGTGAACTGCTCTTAAGCAAACATGCAGCAGGCTGATGCATGTTAGTGGGCGGCCCCGGACTTGTTTAAGCTTTTCCTTTGCAAGTTAATAGCCATTCATTTGAATGACTGTGGGAGGAATTTTGACTAATTTTCCAGGAGTGAAAGACAACATTTACAGAGTAGAAGACAAACATCGGGCCTGTCAGTTTTACCACAGGGAGGAACAGAACACTGACAATCAACACAGCAACATAAACATTTGAAAACATGTTCTGAAACACTGACAATCCTGTTAGGGCCTGGTTAAACCTGTTAAAGCTACGAATAAACGCATCAACAACAAAGCGAAAATTAATGATATGTCCAAGGATAATTACATTTACAGTTAAGAGATTTTTAAAATGTCATTTTTCCTTCTTTTTTCTTTCTTATTTAGCTCTGATGCTCCAGGTATCAGGGGGTGACCTGGTACCTGGGTGGTTTTACCTTCAGAGTCTCACCCCTCCCCCCCCTCCAATTATTTGAGCTCCTCACACACATTGCTCTTCCAGACTGAAATAGAGAGAGAGAGAGAGAGGGAGAGAGAGAGGGGGGGCGGGGGGGGAGGGGGATTCACCCGCTGAGAAACGCGGGGGAGCTGTCCGTGGTACCAACGACAGGTAGCACCAAGGACAGCAAAAAGCTAAAACAGAAAGAACGGAAACAAAAATAAATGTAGCAACTGGTGAATTATAAGACCGTTAACTGGATGCAAATACTCACATAAAAACTTCAATCAATTTGTAAAATCTTTCTTTTATATTTCATACAGTGTCGTGCTGCACAGACTGGAACAATATGTGATATGAACTGGATTACTGCATAAAATGACACTGCATTTGGGCTGATAAAAACTGAAGTGAAATCGGTCAGAAAGTAAACAAAACACGGAATAAAAATAAATAAATAAACACAAATGAAAAAAAAAAACCCAGCTCCCATGAGGCAGAACATTTCAAAACTCCATGCAGTATAACAGTAACATGTACCATACTGAGTAATTACATCATAAATAATGAGTATTCATAAAACTATTTGGAAAAAGAAAAAGAAGTCAAATGTTTTTACCTAATTAAACCTTTTTTTTTAAAGATTTGTCTCTGTTACTAAAACACAATCATTAGCTTCATGGCCCAGCGGTGGGTCACAGCACTGGTTATGTAATTCAAGACATAAATGTATATTTAAAATTTTCTGACAAATACTGTAAAATATAACTGACAGTAAATACATTTTTATTTTGTAATTTGACATGAAAAGCGTAGAGAATTGGTCAAAACGGTAGAACTAATGACGATTTCTTCCTTCATCATTTATGTGTCATTTTTCAAAATTAAACAAACATATGTATTTAACGTACATGTTCTTGCATGTGTTTGAATGCGAAGCTCTTCAGAGAAACACTTTTGAAAGGATCGCTCATTTGGAACACACACAGATCCTCATCTGAATTAAACAAACATATATGTACTTTTATATACATTATATATGACACCTGTATCATTGGGAAACTGCAATTACATAGAGACAAAACACAGCAAACATACTGAAATCATCAAGGACCCTGGTTTAAGCATTGCAGAGTTTATTAATGTTTACAGGACTGTCACTCTCACTCTCTCTCTCTCACTGTCTTTCTCTGTCTCTTTCTCTCTTTCTGCCTCTCTCACTCCCTTCGCTCTTTTTCTACCGAAACCACCACCTAAAATATTCACTCTTTCAGTTTCAGTTTCTCCTGTACAACATGAGGAGGCAGAGAGTGACATCAGTGTGTTCTATAATTGATTTGAAATATATATTCGTCAGTACAATTATACATGATAAACACAAACGGTGCTGATGGATACAGATGAACTACGGCTTGAATTTATACCTAACAAATAATCTACGACTCCCCCATGAACCAGGCTCAACGTCATCGTCACCCTTTCACTTTTTCCCCACTCTGTGCCGTGACAGCCCGGACACCTGAGCAGTCCCAGCTCCTCCTCCTCCTCCTCCTCCTCCTGGTCCACCTCCTGCCTCCCCTGCAGCCACGATTCCACGCATGTGGTGTCACCCCAGCACTGAAGACTTGCACACAGGCATATACGCTCACACACATGTATGCTCAAGACCACCTCCAGGGCCCCTCTTTGGCAGGGCCAGTCCCAGGGGAGAGGTTAGTGTGATGGATGTCTGATTGGTAGCCCTCCCCTAGGGCCTTCCTCTCCGTCACCTCTTTGCGCTCTGAATTAAAAGGCCGTTTGTCTCCTCTGAGTCCTCAGCTGTAGAGCGCCGGACTGCAATTTCACAGCACTCAGAAAGAGAGGGAGACCATTACAGAGGAGGTTGTCAGGGGAGCCATCAGGGCCCGGACACGCCTGAGGGACTCTCTCTTTCCCCTCTATCTTCCCCCTGCCCCCCCGTCTCCTCCTGCTGAGCACCACCAACACCTCTCAGCCGTAGCTCACAAATATATAAATATTCAAGGCCTTGGTTACATTCAAGCTTAGGTAGACCCTCGTGCATGTACGCACTAAAGCACAAACAGACATGGATCGGTTTGATAAGTAAAGATATTTATAGTGTTTTTTAAAGTAAATATAATAGTGACGGAAGACATTTTTAACTCTGCAAAATATCAGTCTTGTTTATTTGAAAAAAGCTTCGGAGCCGTCAGTGTCATAGGTTACAGTTGTATTTTTTTATTTCTCTTCAACCCAGAGATCTGGATGAACGTCTGTTCTGAACTAAAAGTGTTTGCAAAACATGTTTCAGCACAGAAACAGTTATGATTAGGAAGAATTTTTCTTTCTCACAGATTCCAACTCCTCACTGTGAACTCATCAAAACTGTCCCCACAATAGTGAAAACCACACAGCATGTGTTAAAACATACCAGATGTTTTACTTTCAACCTGATATCTAAATGTTCTCTGCTGTTTGGTGGATGTTTGCCTTCCTATGTTACCACCTTGCTCCTTAGCTCCTGGTGATAACTTTGCCTGGGATACATGAGAACAATGTCACTTTACAAATGTTGACACAACACCCGTAAAGCAAGTTGGCAAAATGTGTAATTCAAACTTTTTTCCCAGTTCAGTTACAACATTTCCTACATTTCAAGATAAAAAGCCTTTGAAGGTAAAGTATGAGCGCCTACAAAACGTGATGGCATTTTTTAATTCAAGCAAATCTAGCGTAAGACTAACACTTACCATTATTCCACCAAAGCAAATGTCCAGTACAGTAGAATGTTCTCAGGCATCACTGGCGTATTTCTGTACTTCTTCCTCTGCAGCGTCTGCTGGAAGATAAGACATAAATATATAGTTTTAGTTGAAAGAGTTTGGAGAAAGTCATTGCATCAGGTCAAAGCAGTTTATCGGGGTTTTGTTTTACAGTTTAACAACGAACGCTAAACATATTTGTTAAAATTCCAATCATGTCTGAACTGTTCTGTCTCAGGGCAACGTAGGGGGACAGTGTTTAGTTCTCCAGCCTTACAGCAAGAAGCTCACTGGTGGTACTACTAATAATCCTTCTGTATTGGACTCTGCATCTTCTGCCTGTGCGTGTTTGTGTGTTTGTTTTTTTCCACTAGCTCAAAAACTGTTAGCATTAGGTTGATTGTTCACTCTAAACTGGCCGTAGGTGTGAATGTGGGTGTGAATGGTTACAAGACTCTTCTGACGTGTCCCAGTGACGGACTTGTAAATGTAGGGTCTCTACTGTCCCACAGATACACGTTTACACATTTGACATTATTTAATGCCAAACATACAGCGTAAGAAAACACACATCAAGATTCTGAGAAATGTATTTAACATTATTTAATTTTTTACTTTTACTGACAGACAATATATTTATTGACAAATAACTACTTTAAAAAAATTAGATAAGACACTGCAATTAATTATGTTTTTAAAAACAAAGCTGTTGGTTTTTCAGTGATCGATAAGACTATTAGTGATACTGTTTTATATTATTATTATATTCTCCACGACCAGGTGTCCTACTACTGTATCTGACTGTTTCTGAGCACTGAAATCTAAATCACTTCAAATCTAAATGTCCTAACCCTCCGCCATCGCTCACTTCTTCTCATCATAAAGACAGGTGGATACGTTTCTGATTCTGTGAATTCAACCCTTAGTTAACCAGGATTAAAACAGACTAGGATTAACGACGGTCTTTTGACAGTGTCTCAAAAACAGTAAACAGTTTAAACATAGAATAAAAAAGTTCATAATCAGGTTATTTTTTACTTAATAAACAGTGGACATGGATTCAGGTAAAGAAGAACGTCTGCAGGCTGATGATGATTCTGCCTCCATGGTAATTAGAATCATTTCAAAAATGGTCACTGCAGGTCATTCTGATGGTTATTAAACAGAAGCAGGACTATATATGACTATTTCCTTTAGGGGCATACAACTATCAAAAAAAACAAAAACAGAAACATGTTGAAATCAATTTCTACATCAAACATTAAAAAACATGATCAATACACAACACTGATCAGTTTGAAGGTTTGCCACCTCTTCTTACAGTTCACATACATTTTGTTCTTCCCAGTGCTACATTTTTTCACCTTTCTCTGCGATTAATTAATAACGTTGAAAAAAGGAGAAACTTGTGTGGCCGGTGCTCTGTATGGAATCTGCACTGTTAGGAGCGAATGAATGAATGAATGAATGAATGAATGAAAAGGCTTGTGGTGAGAAGGACAGAGAGAATGTTAAGGCTACCATCAAGGGGGCGGAACAAACACGGCAGGAATCCTCGTGCCTTCTCAGATACGCTGAATAAAGTCCTACCTGAAAAAAACAGTGAGCTTTGACCCTGGCAGCTCACATATGACTGTATGCACAAATGTACACACACACACAGATTTGATTGTTTCCCACAAAGCTTTTACAGACAGATAATCGAAGCATTTCCAGACACAGGTCCATGTGAATAGATGTTCAGGTTGGAATTCCTCCCTGCAGTCAACTGCTGAGTGCTGTTACTTTGTGTGGAACAGTGAAAAAAGTCCAGGTGCCTGCGACGTGGGTAGAACGTGGCTGCGCGGCTCACACCGTGCCCAGTTCAGCCCCTGTCATTGGAATATAATGAGCGAAATCACCTTTCGGTGCGGACCATCTTAATGAGGTAATGAATGGGGGCGGTGCGGTGCACCTTTGCCCTTACCTACTCTATTAATCAGAGAAGGGTCACACACAGCGCCAAGAACCAGCCTCCCCCATCTGGCAGCACTAATGGACCAAGCAAGGATAGGAGGTGCTTTTAGTTAAAGAGCTGTGGCTAGTAATCAGGAGACATGAGGAGAGGAGAGGGGAGGAGAAGACAGAACAGAGCAGCCGGGTTTTCTACCTATGTAGCCTACCATCACTAAGACAGAGTTCTTATACACAGTCCATAGTCAAACAAGTCACAGACTCAACTGTCAAGACAAATAAAAGTCCACTGCATACAGAAAATGGCCCTGGTGTGAGACGCGCCTGCGTCAGCACCTGCTGAGGTCTGATGAGTAACCAGGTTCTCATGGGGTTGCTCTCACTAAACCCTTTATTAAAAAGGTAAGTTAAGACAAAAACCAGACTTGATAACTAGAACTGTGATTCCACCATTAACCTAAAACCTGACTTTGTACTGAAGAGGGAGAGCAGATGAGGCGTGAACCCAGACACACAGAAATATCAGGCGTCAAACTGGTCACATTTTCACTATAAGGCAAAAGAACCAAGGACTATATCAGAGCATACATAACATATACAGCAAAAGAAAAAAGAAAAAAACCTACAGGGAGAGGACTACACATATAAATGTTAGAGCAGTAAACAGAGACATGGCCAGTACAACGTAGAGTATGCAGTAAACGGAGGGATGTGCTGTACAACTAGAGTAAAATCTACAAGATTACAGGATTATTAAAAAAAAATCATTTTAACAACCTGAATCCTAATCCTAATCCACTCTGTATTTCCTCTGTGATCCAAAACTAATCGTTCAGATGTATTTGCATGTATTTCCCCGACTCTCTCACTAGGACCTTCGTAAACGGTCACTTTACCATTCAATCTAATTAAATTATACATTTATCTACTTGTTTTTTTATATAATGTAAGTATTTATGGAGGAGTTTTTTTTTAGCTAGAATCAGCAAAGCACATTTAAGTGGGTGGCAACTAGAAATGTGTGGAGGCAGAAGTCATGGAGGGTGGGTGGTGGGTCGCTGTGTTTGAATAATCTCTGCTGTGTATGTGCTCTCAGCATCCCGTCCTCCCCTGACTAACTGCACTGGCGGCCACTTGAATTAGCAGCGGAGGATTATGGGCAGAGAGGCTCATTAATCTGAGCAACAAACAGTGGCCAGTGTGAATATTTGCGTCCCGAAATTGAAAAGATTAAGTCCTATTTGACAATGACTTGCAGTCTCTGTGCTGCAAGAGGCTACTGTTAAATATTCATATCCTGCACGCCGTCTGTCTGTGTCATGTGTGTGTCTGTGTGTGTGTGTGTGTGTGTGTGTGTGTGTGTGTGTGTGTGTGTGTGTGTGTGTGTGTGTGTGTGTGTGTGTGTTTGAAGGCAAATAATGTGCAAAGACAATTAATTGAGTTTGGGGATTTTTGGCATTCATTATGAGCAACGGAGCCTAAAAAAACCTAATATGATTTAAATTCCAAACTGGCAAAATAAGAAAAGAGGAGTGAATATGTTGAACTGATCAGCAGAATAAAGTCAGAGAGTAGATTTGTGATCTTTTAACCTAAAATATTTACAATTCATTCTTCAACTGGCAGAAGATAAAAGAATATAAATGAATTCACTCATTTCCAGCAGAAACACAAACTGAGTGACACTCACTTTAGCGACAGGGAGGAACAGCGGCTGGCAGGGCTGATGTGACATCCCATCTCCTGCTGCCTCGTCAGCCTGGCAGGAGACTCCCTCCTGCAAATGCTCAGCAAATACCCCGTTATTCTTTTCCTACAAGGCAGAGGCGGCTCACCAGACCTGACAAAGCTATTTACCCACCTCCAGCTTGTGCAGGCGCTATCGCTAATGTTTTCTCTTCTGCCGGAGATCAATATGTTTGAAAGCAGACAAACAACCGTGCCCTGGCAGACAGGCTCTCCCTGTTAGGCGGACCACCACTGGGGGCCATGACAGCAGATGTACACAACCAAATCAACACACGACGCCTCTCCACAGTAAACACAGGACACAATCAACAGCACTGGGTCCACGGTGCCAAGTGGTAACACCCTCGGTCGTGCCAACGCGTGCCATACCAAGGGTGCCACGCCACGAGCCAAGTCACATCAGCTGCTAGGAAACCAAGGAAATATTGATTTAGGCAGAAGAAGGAAAAGTTTGGGAGGGGGGGTTCACACAAAATCTGGGCTGTAGTTGAAGACAGACAGTGTGGCCTCCTTCAAAACCCAAGACGAGTGAGGAAAACAAATAAACTCGATTCCGAAAAGAAGATTTTTTTTTTCAGCAGATAAAGCAGAGAAATAAACATGTTTAAATAACAGCATTGGAACCAGACAGTACAAACAGACAGAGTCAGACTAAACCAACATCCAGGATCTCATCTCCTGGATAAGCCCTCATGCTCTGGTCTCCTCTTCTCTCCTCCCCTCTTGTCTGGTCTTCTTCCCCCTTATCTCCCTTACCCCCCCCCCCCCCCCATCCCCCCCTCCCCCCCCCCCCCTCTCCATCCCTCTCCTCTCTTCTCCTTTCCTTTCCTTACCTTTCCTTACCTCCCCTCTCCTCTCCTCCACTGTCCTTGGTTCCTCACCTCTTTCTCTCCATTTTCCCTTTCCCTTTCTTTTGCCTCCTCCCCTCTTCTACCACAAGTTCTTTTTTTGTCACCTTCGTTGATCCACCTGTGGTTTTTTTTTCACTCTATTCCATCCTTTAATTCCTTAAAAAACACTGTCAGCCCAAATATTCACAACTTTTAGATCAGTTTTTGTGAACACAGACATGACAGATGACAGAGTGTCATCCTCATTCCAGTGTTCCACTAGGGTGGGAGGCTGCAAATACTTTCAAATTTGAATATTGAGTTTCAAATTAACGTCTGAAAATGTGTGTTTTTGTGTGTGAACGAATACTGCTAAAGGTGGTCAAGTGAAAAAAGTCTGTGTTTTACACTGAGTGTGTGTGTGTGTGTGTGTGTGGGAGTATCAGGGTGAGGGTGCCAAATCGCTCTGTGCTGTGGAGATAACAGCATATTCCTATCAGCAGCATCAAGGGGCTTAAGACCCCGATGGGCGTGAAGGAAGAATG